TCATTAAATGTATGAAATGAAAACCTATTAGACTGGTACGCATATGTTTCAGTTATTGCTAAGGTATTTAAACTCGGCAATAAAATTGTTGTACAAATAAGCAATATCAATAAAATTATAAATATGTATTGGAGTAAACCAACAGAACTAGCTTTGTGGTTTTTGTAGTTTGAATTATGTCACATTTTACTATGTCAGTTACTTATAGTTATTATGGTTGTCTTGGAATAACTATTTAAAATCACATTCACACTATTTTGTTTTATGGAGTTTTTTTTAAAATATAATCTTGGCTGAAAACAATAAAAAAAATTACGTGTTAAAATAGAAAGACTGAATGATGGAAATATGAATGTAAAATACAGGTAAATCCTTATCAGTTTCAGACTTTGTGGTACTTTACACTTTTCATTTTATTATTTATGGGATGATGTTCTTTAATACTCTCAAACGAATGAATTACAATATTCAAAATAGTTTTATCAATGTCGAAAGATTCCATAACTATTACTGTACAAGGGAGACCATAAAATGTTGGTTTAGAATTTGGACTACTTAGATGTCGAAAATTTCTATGTTACTTTCATTTTATTCAACGGCTTTATTAGCTTTAAAAATAGTATAGTTTTTTTTTCCACTGGAACATGAAATAAGTGACCATAACTTACTAATAATTCAAAAACGAGTGTAAAGAAATTCAGAGGTTTAATTTAGTCTAATCTCAAGTTTAAGAATAACATCAGGCAATTAATTGTTACCAGATTACTAAATAATAATAGAATTCCTTTACTTTAATAATAGAATAGAATGATATTTATTATCAGAAAAATACAGTAATATTACGTATTATAGGAATATTATATTAATATATTCATAGTATTCTCTGTAAGCCACGTTCAATAAATATTTTAAAGTAGTTATTATCAAATTAGATTTACATATTCAGTTTACAATTTACAAAAGATAATTGTTAATGGAGTTACTTTTGTAACTTAATTAACTGCGAGGACAAATGAATGTCTATGTAAAGTCGTTGTATTTTTTATTTTGTTTTATCACTTTTTTCTTTACATAATTTAATTTGTAATTAAGTACAGGTATTTTTGTATTGTTCTTGAAGATTGGTTTTGTGCAATCAATTAATCTATATGTTAATTATTTCTATTTTAATTAAAAGTTAAAAATAATATTGCATTATTTATGATTTGATAACCTCAAACATCGACTTTTGTGATGCTTTTCTAAGCTGATAATAGCATAGTAGAGCCATGAAACACATAAGTTTTTTGGTTGTCAAATGGGAAAGATTGATGAATTTCTATTGTACCTATCATCTTATAATTTCAAAATGTACTACATGTTATGCAGAGACATTTAACTTTTTAATCAACGTAATATCCACTTTTCTTTTTTTATCGTACAGGTTTAAATTCAACATAGCTAGGGGGCAAATTTACTGATAAGCGATGTATGTAGCTACTCTCTCAGATATATTTGGCAAATATTATACGTAGCCATAAGACCGCCTTTTGTACCTTTATGCGTATATTGTATATGTGGTATTTATGTTACTGTATTTCACTTGAATTATTCACTTGTCATTGTACATTTTTATTTATGGTGCAGTAATTAGTTAAATAAATAAATATATGTGGCAGTGAATTTACAGGGTATAGAGTAATAACACCTGAGTTCTCAGGACTGGTAACGAATGGGGGTAATCATGGGCGAAACAGTATACTCTGTCAGTTACATATGTCCATGATACTGCTCGTGTCTATAGGCGACGGTTACCACTTTCCATCAAGTGGACTGTCAGCTTGTTAGCCATTTTATATTGTATAAAAAAAATTACCACGGCTTCCATCATCAAGTTAATGGGATGGTCATAGAATCAGACAATTTTTAAATTACATATATAACACTTATAGATCTTAGATTAATAATTTAGTCTCTGCTGCGTAGACCAATTATAAATATAAGTTCTAAGTATAATACAGATCAAGACTCTCTCAATATGTCTTTTTTTTTATTTTTTTTTAAATTATGCACTATTGCAGTTAATAAATTAATTAGGTAAATATGTACTTACCTATTGAGATTTTTTCCTCTTATCGAATAATACAAAGAGAATCTCCATTTTGCAGTTTCTTTATCAGTGTCTCTAAGAATTAGAGGATTAAACGTTTTTGTCCATTAGTTACGGTTTTAAGTGTTAATGGTGTCTCGGATTATGGCTGTTCGTAGTCAGAGATAAGCAGTGTAAGTGTCTGACTCATCCGTCCTTTGACTGATTTCTATGCTACCTGATAACAACCACATAAATTCCTTAATTCCACCGCACAAGATCTAAAGTTCCCCTTCACTTTTCGCCTACAATTACCAAGTTTACAAAGTTCGTGAACTTTAAACAATGAGCCGAAGGTATCAATTCGAATGGCAAATCGAATTGAAGCTGTCTCAGTGTAACTAATTATTCTTTTGTTCTAGTCAGATTAACATTAAGTGCTATAAAATGTGAGGATGTTGTTGTAACGAATTCACGTAGCAAACTTAAAGAAGTTTGTTAAGTATTGTTTACAAGTAGCTTTTATTTGTGATGTCGCTGCGGGATAAAAAGTAACCGTATCCTAATAAAGAATAAAAATACTTTTAAGAATAGATTAGTCAGAAATAAAGTTTAATTAAACACTGTCAATCTAGGTATAAACACATTTATAGGGTTATGAGATCACTACTTACGTAAAAGGAGTAAAGCGTAATATTGTGCTTCTATATTAACCTCCATCGATTCTTACACCTGTTATTAAAATGACTAATTACACTCCACAAGTCGACCCAAATCCATTCATCCATCGCAACGCGGTGAAACAAAAAACCCTATTTAATATTAGAGATCATAAAGAAAAAAAATTATCAAGATATTAGTCGTACGGCCGTGTATCGACTTTCGTATTGTTAACGCGGCTGGTAGCTCCGAGTAGCGTGTAATGAGAAACTAGAATGTTAATTAAGATCTAATTAACTCTAATACAATCAACAATGATGGTTGCGTTCCGGACGCATTCGCAAGTCATCGCGAGGGTTCTGTCCCGACCGATACAACAAGACCCCTAACCTTCGAAATGGGACCCCCTATGCTACAAATTTTATTAAGACCAGTTCGTCAACTAAAGAAGCAATCTAAACTGGCAGTATTAATCAAATTGAGATCGGTAAACCCTTTAATAAAAAATAGGTTAAAATCACTCTTTCCCAAAGCTATTGTGATGTGAGAACTCAATTTAACGAACATTGTATTGATATAGACGTGAGATCGGCTGAAAGGGTAATAAAGATATCTGAGGTACGACGAGTAATTATAAATCTAAAGACGGAAAAGTAAAATAATAATAGAAAAAAAACAGGTTATATAAGGTATCTATGATTTTAAATTACATACGCGTACAGCAGTTTATGATATTTATATACCTATACAAAGAGGTAGGTTACTGGCTTATTTTAATAACATCCGGACGTAATTAATCATATTCGAAACTTAAACCTTTCACTAATCGTAAACTTTTAATTAATACGTTAATTTAAGGATTGTTAAAATTAATTAAAAGAGATCTTTCAAAATATTAAATTGCAAAATCAAGGTAAATTATAATATTTGTAATTCTATAGACGATACACAATCTTAATTTGTCTGGTCTATAAATTTTCGTAACTTTAACAAACTTAAATTAACTACATTAATATAAAGTCTAATAAATATCAAAAAAAAAGAAATAATATCAAATATACACGACCGACGGTAAACAGTATCTTTGAAATATAAAAAAAAATATCCTACCTTTTTTTATTTTGAAATCCTTAACAACTATTTAAGTATCGATTTATGATTTATAAATCTGCTTTGGAATTAACTCATTATATAAATTGGATTTAAATCTACGCCTACACAACTTTAATAAATTATGTAAATTATAATTTACGACGTAGCAAATTAAAAAATCTATATTAAAATTAGATAAACATTTAATAATAAACATGCATTTATAAAGGTTACGAAAAAAAAAGGAACGAATGGAACATATCATTTGTGATACTCATAAAATCGAGATCAATAACATAAATACTCTATTGTTGTCTGTCCTTAATGCGTCTAACAACTTTTATAGAGGCTGAGATATGGAAATAACATTTAAAACTGACCATAATACAAGCTATAAACAAAATTAACAACACAGGGACCCCCGCTGATTTCAATTTTGAGTCTGACAACGGCCCTAATTCAATAAAGCAATAAAATTCACCTAATTATGCAAATGTCTTTTGAAATATCAGACATTATGCCTTTTTTACACGAAAAATTATGATGGGAGCCGTCAAATGAGGTTATAGGCATTGATTAATGATGTTAGTCTGAAGGCTATCAAAATAACAACATTATTTCTATGGTTAATTGTTGTGTGTAATTAGTCAGACAGCAGGAGGCGTTAAAATGCAGCCAACTTATAAAACAGCTAAACATTATATTAAGATGTTATTATAATTTTTATAACAAATTATTAGCACAAGGTCGTATATTTTAACATAATATGTATTTGTTTAAATAATGTTACTTTATAATACCAAGCTATACATTATAAATATTAGCTTACATATTATTTATTCTAACAACTTAATAAATAGCAAGTATTAAAAAAAATATTTAATTTTCTACATGAAGAACTTTGTAACTAGCAACTTCAATTAGCATATAAGTAGGGTAAGTTATTAATATTTTTTTTTTAATTTAATTGTAAGTACCTAATGCCTATACAAATAAATCACACACAAAGCTAAAAATAAAAAGTAAAACTTCCTACCCTTGTAAAATTTTTGTAAATAATTACATTGTAAAATGTAAAAAAAAAACTCATTAAATTATAGCTAAACAATTAATGATGTACCTGTCACTATAATAATACTAAATGCATAAATAAGAATATAAACAAATAAACAACGCCTACCTATTAAGCAGCAACGAATTCCGAAAGTCCTTATCGAGCACGAATTGAGTACAGCGAACACGATATACTTCTGTCCATTAACGCCACAATTTACATAATAGTCCGTGACGTAGAAAGACAACAAAATAATAAACTGTGATACACCAACGCCTTCAAACGACTGTCCAAGAATAAAGTTAGCAGAGAGCGCTCGCTCACGAAAAAGCGTAACAAAAATGGATTGGCCCGAAGCCACTCCCCTTAAGCACACCCGGACCAATGGTCTTGCAGTGATATGGCGGTCTGGTACGAGGGTGGGCCTGAATCACTGATACAGGCCCCTACTTCGATACCACTAATTGACTTTATCAACAAACCGACTTTACTGGACGGAGTCACGATATATGCGTTTGTCTACCGCGTCAAAAGCCTAACTGTAGTCCGATGGCGATGTAATTAAACATGCATCGAGTTGATGGGTGATTCGAGTGTGTAAAGATTATTAGGTACTACCCATTATCCATTTTTATATCAGTTATGATAAAATTAAATGGTTTTTACTTTAAAAATAAATGTACATTCAGAATTATTAATTACTATTTATATCGATTTTGTTATTTTGAATATAATACATTCTTTTTAATATATCTTATTATGTACAAATTAATTATATTTAATCTAACTAATGGCTAATTAAGTAGCGATAGAGAGGTAGGCAGCCACATTTAAGTATAATATGTTTGCATTTGCGCTGCAGTAGCACGCTGCAGTTTAAGTTGTGTGGGGACTATTTAAATTTATCATTAACATTTATATATCTTGTACCTGATAAATTATTTTATTATTATTATTAGACGAATATGTTTAGTGTAACGTTACTTACTAGTACTTATTAAGTAGACATATGTTTGCAAAAGATCTAAGTGAATAAATTATTTTTAAAACTTATGCTCATTTTTTAACGATGTCTATAAATAATGTAAAGGGAATTTTATGGACTTACTATGCTTGTTGTTTCCGATAATAGTGTCTATTTTATCCGCAAGTCTTTTTCAGGGGTGAAGGATGAAATACTAACTAACAACTGTATTCACTTATAAATACATATATATGGTAAATGAATGCAGTTGTTAATTTATAGCTATTGTCGTAGAATTTAATTAGTTAGAAAGATCCTTTAAAATTTATATAAGACACTGTTGATATTATTAATCATATTTTAAACTGAAAGCTTGATAAAAAAAAAAGTTATATGAGTATATTTATTTATTAGCAAAATGACAATAACGACGACAATATTATTAGTACTAATTAAACTACTATCTACTAGTTAATAGGTATTTTTTCTATCACATTTTACATTTTCAATATTAGTGTTATCTCATCTTATTGTTTGATTAAAGTGTGCAAAGTAAATGTTTGTAACAAAATTTTATTAAGAAATAAAATCACAATTTTCACATAAAATATAGACTATTCTATTATTTTTTAGATTTTATTAACTGTGAACCTATTTCCATATTCGTCATAAACATAGATACATATAATAAGTATATCTACTCGTAATGCAATAAGATTCTATATCCACATGAATGTTTTATTACAATCATACAGTGTATAATAAATATAAACAATTTCTCAAGCATTCACAGCTGTATTAGGTATCCAATTAGAAGGCTCACAATCTTTATACAAAGCCGACCAACTATTTATATGTGATGACCAACATCGTCGCTCTAATTGCTAGCAAAGCTATAAAGAGATGCAGTAACCTGCAACATAGTACCTACATAACTAAACAAACTACACGTCAATTGCTATTTTAGATATTAAACTCATTATCTTTCTCTCTATATAAAAACAGGATATTGATAAAGTAAGCAAGTCTAAGGTTTTATTCGCAGATTTGATTTAATTTTGATTTTTTACACATTTGTATTGTACTTTGTTCTCTTCGCCTGTGACGGTATACTAAGTTTAAAAAAAAGGCGACAATAAACTGAAACCTTTCTCCATCAAATGGCTGTTAAAATTTTGAAAATATGTCTCAAAAGATTTTGTACGACATCTCATTTATATATGTTGTTCATAGTAGGTACTTATTATCATATCAGACATTATCTATCGACTGCTAAACATAGGCCTCCCCTATTGGAGACTTTTGCTAGTAGTTGCCACGTTTGGCAGGTAGGTTGGCAACAACAATTAGACTTTTGGTGATGTTTTAAGAAGGGCACTGCCGCCCATCCCTTGACCATTAAGTTCCCTTAGTCGTCTCTTACGACACCTATGGGAAAGGAAGGGGTGGCCCATTCTATGCCAAGACCACACAACATGTTACCGTTATAATCCTGCAATCCGTTTGAATGTTTGTCACATCAATTATTATTATATTTATACAAATAACCTTATAATTATCGGCACGAAAATCCAACAATTCCCTCGTAAAATACAAATTGTGGTTATAATATTCTCATGCATTTAAACACACATAAAAATGGTTAATTTACAAAACGTTACAACATACAGCTAAATAAGACACCCTATCAGACGATGTATAGGGCTGTCACATTTCGCTTTATTAGTAGATTTGCACAGAATTACAATTTTTACAGAAATATTAAGTGGTCAGCCTTCAAACGTAAAAATTCAATGGTTATCTTTGAATTTTTGTGCTGCACATACTATATTTATACAATATATACCCAGTGCTTTATAATAAATCAATCACTTATTAAAATGGCAACACCTTTTTTCTTTATTTACATTTATTATACATTTCATTGTGGTTTAACACTGTTCAGATTCATAAGTAGTGAGCTTAAATGTCTCAGTTTTTAAAAAGTTTACATGACTGAAATACCTAGTTTTTGGTAACGGAAATTTTCTTTGGAGATGCTAACATATTTTTTAAATATATTACCGGAATTTAAGGCGACGAAAATTGCATACATACCTACTTTTTACTGCTGACGTTTCGTCGTATATTACATCACGTATGTGGGTATATCAAGCATGTATGTAACTATTTACCTGCAATTTTCGTCGTGTTAAGTCCCAAAAGTGTATTTAAAATATATGTCAATAGCGCGAAAGTTTAAAATTAATTAATGCTAATATAGTTAACAAAATTATATTATCAGAGAAGTATGGATATGTGCGCGTTTTACCATTTCAAATGTGCACTAAAAATGTTATCATTAATTCCTAACCGCCTATGCCTTTGATTTTTCTACGCAAGATTTCAGTCGTGAGTATTTGTATTTTACTCTAATTATTAACTGACAACCCTATTGCAAAGGTAATAAAGCATTGCGTCCGCAATTATACTGCGCGAGATAATTAAAACTATTAAAATGACATTTGGCACAATCTGAGGCCCCAGAGCGCGGTTCCGTGTAATAACCTGAAATGGCTTTACGGATTGTTATTCTAACAATATTTCAAAGTGATTCCGTATGAAATAAAGACATGATTAGAAAGTAGATTAGGCTTTATGGGCCTGGAAACGAGGGACAAACGAGACACGAATTGTTGAAATAAGCTTCACAAAATTAGATGCGTACCGGGTTAGTTTACGTTTTAGGCGGTGTGTTCCGTAACATTTTTCAGTTGATATTAACTAAAATTAGAGATTTATTTGACTATCTTTGTGCCATGTTTTAACACTCGAACTATTCTATGTAAAAAACTAAAAGATAAATTTTGAAACCCAACTAGGTACAAATATCATCTAGATATCTTTAATTAACTCATGTAATTATGTGATATAAGAAGTTATTATCATAAGAGTCCTCTCCATTTTTATATACATATTCAGTTATTATTGTAGTTATATTTTATTATATATTTAAATTTTTATTATACAGAAAATATTAAACAGAAAATTTTCATAACAGTATTCTTCATACCGTTAAAAACAATATTTTTAATAAATTAATGTATTTTTCATAAAGTATTAAAATGATTAAACAACAAGTACTAGTCCTAGATTTTGTATCCGTTAGGTGACTTAATTTATTTTAAATTACTCTAATTTAACGTTATTTAAATTTTCTATGTAACCTGCTTTTTGTTGTCGCAGTAATTTTATTCAAATAATAAATGCTTTATAATGAATGACAATCATAATAATTTTAGATAAACACACGAACAAACTGATTGCAGATTACATACGACTGATTACAAAACAAGGATTTCCTCCCGCGTGTAATTACACAAATGACAAGAATCACACGTGTATAAATGTAATAATATTTTGATGAATATATGAGAAGCGAGATAAAGCATCGTCCTTGCAACAAGAGATTTTCTAAATCACACAAATTACAGCTAACAACGTAATACCCTCGGCGTACACAAATTGGTCCATATTTAATTTTGGGAAAATGTAAAAATAAACGTTTTTATTTGTGTAAATAACACAATAAAACTGCCGGCCTCTATTATGCGGGCACCGCTCGAAATTTGTGCGCGGGCACCAAATTACTCAGATACGATCTCTGTCACCGTAATTGTTATTCCACTGTCGTTAGTGGCCTGCCAGTGTAAATTCAGTTAGGGAATACAATTTTTTTTTAAATTCAATAACTTTTTTTTGTGTTATGACAGGAAACGGACGCGTTAGAAAAATTACGCGCATCCGCCAACTTTCGCGTTATTGCAATGGCTGTAGGCAATTAGTGCTCGCAACAAAAGTGCTGTACCGCGTTTATAACCGATAAAGTGCCAATATTAAAAAGTGCATGAGGTGATTAAGAAATACTGATTATTTAAAAACTGTTACTGTTATTCCCTTTAAATATTTAAAACTTTAATCTCAACTAAACTCTTGGCAGAGTAAAACCTCTGCAAAAAAATTTCAGAAGCTGCTGAATTTGCTTCAATCACAATATAACTAATATGGAAATAACACAGATATAAAGAATATCTAAAAAAAGATTTGCCTGGATTTAGATTTTTTATTCTTTGTTTAGAACTCACCATATCAATCGGCATTTGGAAAACTTTTGCTTTTGTAAATCGTCGATCTCTTACTTAAATTTATCTAAAATTATTAATTATTAGTAGATTTAAAACTGATTGAAATCATATCTCGAGCTAGAATGCCAATGAAATGTGAAGAACCGGGCAACAAACATCTGGGGGGTATAACGTAGAACAGAAATTGCCTG